GTTGACATTCAGAAGTACTCAAGTCTATTCTGACATTCCTACATTGTTCTGTCTAAACATTCGTCAAACAACATTTCATTTGCTTTTTAAAGTAAAGCTAACTAAGAATAAATTAACAGGCCTGGCGTAAGCACTGCATCTTTGATGCAACTAACATTCTTAAATACTCATAAATATTCATCGAAAAAACAATTACATCTAATTAAATAACATTAAATTATTAAGTACAAAACTAGTGTGTTCTAAAACACCTCATAAATAAATACAGCATTGAACAGAAAGAAAAGGGAACATACAATGTAAACTTTGGCAAAGCTAATCATCAAGGTAAAAGGGTTCAGAGGGAGATTTGGCAACAAAATTTGTTCGCTTAAATTAACTCACAATTAAAAAAATAACATAAATTACATTAAATAAAAACAGAATCACATATTGCAAAAACCTATGAAGAAGCATAGTAGTAATAGTAGACACACAAGTATTGGCAAATACTTTTTAAGTACTTAAAACAACAAACAAGCAATGAAAACTTCTTTGGACAGTTTTTGGTTTCATACCCATTTTTGGTTTGGCAGGTTGAGCCTGTGTTACATCAGACAGAACTGCACGTGGTAATGGTGGATGGCCTCCGCCCCCCCGAGCCACAGCCACGCCCCTCCTTTGGGCGCGGCTGGTAGGATTGGAGGGTCAGGTGGGCGGAGGATTTCTTTGGACTAGAAGCTTTACATACAGAAAGAGAGAGAGAAAACTAAGGATAAAGCTATTTGACCGATATTTTAGCAGTTTCTCTCAGCGGGCGTCACGTTTTTGGTTTGGTTTCATTTATTGTTGTTGTGTATATCGAGCAGCAGCATGGGTCCTCCCCCAGAAAGAACAAGCTAATGTGGGTTTCTATGGACAATTAGCACTTTCTCTGTGAGGCTCCTCCTCCAGCATGGCAGTGTGGGCAAACTGTGGCGTAATGATAGATTGTTTTAGAAAAAATGTGCACCCCCACCTTGGAAACGTTTCCACCCTAGCCAGCACTGTTTTTTTTTGCGCCAAAACTCACATAAGAAGAATTTTGGATTGTCTTAAGTCCATTATTTTTGGTTTTGTACTACTTTTAGATTTTAGAACGTTGTTTCAATTAATAATATTTTCACCATATCTCAGGAAGCCGGTTTTCTATATGATACCGAGGTGAAACCCAGAGTTTTACACTTAATAATTGTATTTGTAAATTGATTGGAATTGCTAAACGGTCCATATCTCAAAAACAACCTGAGTCTTTCCGCCTCAGCTGGTTTCTACTAGGTTTGGGTTGAAAACGTAAAAGTCAGAGGCAACACTGTGAGTGACTTTATGTTAAAACATTGGTGAAACTCGAGAAAAGATCCACTCTTAAATGCGTATGGAAAAAAGTAAAGGTGTGAGTGTGCTACTGTTTGTACAGCAGATAATCTTTGGTATGCACTGTACGTTTTACATAGCATTACATTGTCACTCTCTCCGCAGTAGGAAGGTGCCGGACAACAGCCATCTTGAAATGGAAAAGAGGTCTATTCCCTAGCCTGGGTGGAAGCAAAATGGAAGATGGAAGCATTTGAGCAACACTCAACAACTAGTTGATATTGTACCTCGATGCAGATCGTTTGTTTCAAACCGTATGGACGTGAAACAGGAGGGGGAAATAAACCGTCCCTGTGCTGTTGTCTGGCAGCTTTTGTTTCTACTGCTGGAGATTGTTGGAGGTAGACTTTGTCCTGTGGAGCAGGTAATGACTTGTGTTGGAAAAAAAACTATAGAAAACACACATTCAACATTCAGACTTGTTTTGCCATGTGTTGACGCCATGCTGGAGGAATGACCAATCAAAATACCAGATGTATTCAATTTAACTTTGAGGTCTAGCTATCCTGATAGAAACTGTGATTGAGGATTCTGGGTAACATTTTACGTAGAAGGGTGAAAGAAATGCTACTGGCTTAAGAGATACAGAATAAACACGCTTGATTAGCCTACATGCTAACCCAGGAAGTGCAACAGATGAAGCATTGATTACTGAATGAAAAGTCCAGGTGTTCTTTTTCAGGGGGAGGAGGACTGCGACTGGGTTTAACGGTGAATCTTTGGTTTGTTAGCTGATGAGGTTTCTGTTGTTCTTTTAACCATTTTTTACTTTGAAAAACTGCATAGGCACACGTTAAAGACACTCTTCAACCGTGAGGGACACATTAATGTTCTGCCTTGTTTGGGGGTTGGAGGGAGGAAGTGGTCAACAGCATCATCCATTGGTTCCTTCCCTCCGACCCGTGTGGTTTTACCCTTTCAGTCCCCAACTTGCTTCCCCTTAAAGATGGCCTGACACGACATCAGGCAGAACAAAGCTACTACTCCGATCCCATGATGTCATCCTTTCGTCTTTCCACCTTCTCGTCGACATCCTCGACATCCACTCTTTTTTTTCTTTTTTTTTTATCCTTTTTTTGGTAATAATTCTCTTCCATCTTCAGTTAGTTTTTCCGTTTGTTGGAACAGTTAGGTGCAGAAAAAAGGTTTTCTTTGGTTTCGATTCGTCAATAAATAGAAAAAGTCTCAAGTGTCCATGTTCTTATTTTAAATCGTTCTCTATCCAGGCCGGGACAAGCCTGGGTTTCTACGGAGAAGGGGCTGCTGACTGACGCCTTTCCTTTGGTTTTGCTTCTATTTTTGGTTCGATAGCTTGAGTGAGTAATGATTGATGAGGTGATTGTGGATGGTAAAGGCTGTTAAAATGGAATAGCAGGTGGTGGCGTTTGAGGTTTCTTGGGTATGTTAGTATTTACATCATGTGTAAAGGCTGTACAGTGACGTATCAAAGTAAAATGGATTTGGGGGGGGCGATGGTAGTTTGGTGAAGTTTGTTTGGATAGACAGAGACAGACATAGAAAACATGTCTGCGTGTCTCAATCCAACCGTCCTACCAAACATCCAACTCTATTACGCTGCAAACAAATTCCATCTTGAGTTTAATCTCACATTTTTTTTAACAAAGATTAGTCAAAAACAACTGTTGAGTGGTACGTTTTACCACTCCTGATAAAAGAAACATTTACAAATGGAAAAAGTTCCATAATCTCATCTTGAATTTACAAAATTTGAAGTCTGAATATATGACTTTATTAGTGTTTGCAGCGTAAATAGCTGTCCTCCCGTGTGCCAGCCCGCTGACCCTCAGAAGAGACGGACCTGCCAGGCATCGTCTTTAGATTGTCCTCTTTAATTATTACAAAGGCCCTGATTCGCCCGGACAGTTCGTCCTCCGCGGGTTCAGACGGTTTACTGGTTCTACTGATGGTTCTGTGATGGTTTGAAGAGTTAGTGGTTGGTTTCTTTGGTACATGTTATGGCAGCTAAAGGCTTCCAAAAAGCATCTTAGATCTATAGCTGGATTTCAAAAGGTCAATTCGACAGCAAGTTTCAACCAAGCACTTCTTAAGCGACGCCGACGCCGATCAAAAATGTGTAAATTAACGACACATTTTGGACACTGGAAGATTGTGTCAACTTCAAATAGTTTTGAGTAAGGTAAGATTTTAGGTTTTTGATCATATCAGCTACAAACTAGACAGGAAAGAACGATATGCTTCAAACTAATAGTCTTTCCTACATTGGAATAAGGTCGTGCTTTGTCCAACAATTTATAAATGTTTCCAAAACGAACAATCCAAATATCACTCCCTTTTACAGAGAGATTGGCCGGGTGTGCAGGGTTGTGACTGTTGGCGGAGTTTGAACTTCTGTCTCAAGCTTTTTCATTTTTTTACATTCTTCACATAACTACCTCCATCACTTTTTATGTGTTTTCCAACACCCTGAACGCCTTCCAGGAAAGATTGTCGCCATTTGTATGATTAATTGCCCTCTATTTGATGGGGCGAATGTGGCCTTTGGGAACGGGTATTTAGAGTTTAGGTTTGAGATGTAGTCGGACGACGTGGTTGAAGCATACCTAGGCCTTAAGTGTTAAGCTATCTCTTGTTTTGTGCTCTGGCTTCTGCTGGAGTTCTTGAAGCTCAGCACTCTTTTGATTAAACATAGATTAAGTTATTACGTCAATTATAGCTGTTGTTATCACGGCACAATTTAGCGTTTTTTATGCTAATTGATGCTAAGATGCTAGGTGGAAACCGCTGCCCTGATGAATGAATGATGGGTTGGTGAAGCCAGGGTAAACTTTGGTTAGCTTTGGTATAGCTGACTGATGTTTTGGTCAGTATGGGAATTCTGGGAAACATTTGGGAAATGACTCTTTAAAGTTGTGTGTTTGCATGTCTACGTGTGTTTGTACATGTGTACATTGCTGTGTGTAACGTCAGATGCCAAGTGGATTTCAGCCACTGTTTAGAAAAAATGGTATCCTGAGTTTTTCTAAGACGTGAAGACCACTTGGCATAGAGCCCCGGTTCTATTGCAAAGAAAATGTGCTTCAAGATTGTGCTCACATACGTTGTGTATATTCATATATAGTACAGTAATATTCCACTGAACGCCAGGTATGCTAAAAGGGAAAGCTTGTAATTCTACATGTTTGTGTGTCTGTAGGTGTTTGTGCTTGCATATTAGCCATTTCTTAACTTTAAGAGTGATCACTGCCCCCTTTAAAGAGTTCAATCATGCTCTTTTTTTGGCAAAATTGAAGAGATTAGTCCAGAACAAGACAGAAATCTCATTATGAATAAAGTTGGTCATGTTGTTATGTCCTAGAGATCAACTTATGGTACATATTTCCACTTCAAATGGATAAAGGAACATTTTGGAAACCAATTGTTGAAATCTGATTTTAGGGGGAAACAGACTTAGTTTTCTCTGTTAGTGATTGTGAGCTTCAAATCAGAGATTGCAACATTAATTAGCTTTTCCAGTGAGCTACAAATCACACTTTCCAAGCCAGTGAGTTGTTCTAAATGTTTCTGTCATCATATTTTCCTATAAAAAAAACGCCTCATTCATCTTTGGTTTGGTTAAATAAAAAAAAAGTAGGTTGGATCAACAGTCCAAAATGTGACTTTGCAATCTCTGAAATCCAACATTTTGAATTTGAAAGTCTTCAACTTCACCCTTAAAAGATGCAATTGTGGGACATTTTAAGCTTTAAATACCACAAAACTCTCCACAGAGAATTTTTCATAAAGCTTTCATTGGTTTCTTGATCGTTTGGTTTGTTCCTAGCTTATATATTGCATATTAGAAAACAAATATCGTCTTCTAGTCTTTGGTATTTGGGCTAGTGTGTCAGCTCTTTGTCCTAAAGGAGACATCCGCAGTGAAAGAATATGATTTATGAGTTCTTCTTAACCCATTGAGGTTTCTTATGTTTTAGAGGTGTGTTTACCCTTCAGCTTCTTTATGGATTCACGATGGATTTGCAAAAAGGCGGTTAGGCTACAAACAATTTCGTCGCAGTGAGCAGCCCCTCTCTCAGTTTGTCACCCTCGTCAAAAGTAAAACAGACAAACAAACAAAAACAATTGTAAAAAGTTTGGTTTTCGACCGGACGAGTTTTCCCTCGCCCTCAACCCCTCTCCATCCCTCCCAAACCCACCCGAGAACTCTCCCTGTCACTTTGGTTTTCCTCCCCTCTCCACTTATCTACTATCACGCTTTGGTACAAGTGCTGGACGCCGAAGATTGGCCTCCAGGACTGACTCCGTCATCTGTCCATTTGTCCAGGCTCCGGCGGCGGGCGTTCATGAAGAAGTTGCTGACGGTGGTGAGTTCAAGGCCCAGCTGCTGCGAGATGGTGAGCTGCATCTCCTTGGACGGCCGCTTGTTCTCCTTGAAGATGGCCAGCAGGGTGCGCCGCTGCAGGTCGGTGAAGACCAGCCGCGACTTCTTTGGCGTGTTGTTGCGGTCCTTAGCGTTGTCCTGCTCCTTCCGTTTGCACGCTGCGAGGATCGAGGGGAAAGGTAGATAATGATGGAGGAAAGGAGGTGGGTTGATGGGAAGAAGAGACAGAAAATAAAAGTGTTAATGTGGTTTGCTTTGTTATTCGAACAACAGTACATTTTGAAAGAGGATATAGCAGCATGTGAAACAGAACCCAGAGGTTTAGTTGACTGAAGTTCATCTCCCTACGCTGTCATTTAGTGATATGATATTATATAATAGCAATAATAGTAATAGAACATCTTATAATGTGTCTGCTGTTGTCTGTCAGTCAGTCACTTAACGAGGAGTAAGAGATTTGATTACCTCTCTGAATTAAGTACGCACGAGTCAGAACCAAATCATCAGTTAAGAACTATCCTCGCTGTAAACACACACACACACACACACACACACACACACACACACACACACACACACACACACACACACACACACACACACACACACACACACACACACACACACACACACACACACACACACACACACACACACACACACACACACCCCTTCCCCAGTCTCCCCTCTGCTCACACAGCGTTTAGAGACCTGACGACAGATGCAAATGAAAGATGGCAGCTTTTTGCTTCCCAGCTGCTCTCTGTCTTTGTCTCGTGATGAATGTCTGGGTATCTTTACAGCATCCTTAATCAATACACATTTATTATATTTACACTGAGTAAAACATTCAAACCACAGAATTGTTTCTATTGGCTACACCAGTTCATCCAATAGTAATATGCTACATATCTTGTGCATCATTTTAGACACAGATTCAGCCTGACATGTCTTGATTTTTTTTAGAATCACAGTGATAAAGTTATATGAGCATGTGTGTGTAACTTGTAAACCCAACACTTTGTGGGAGTGATTTTTTGGGGTAAAGAAATTAGAGATTTTCTAATTCTGAAGTACATTTCATAAACCATGACCTTTACTCCGAGTACAGAGAAACGCACGTTCATGACCTGCTTTGAGGGTTTTCTGAACACCATTTTCTGTAGTGTTTAATTTAGCATTGTAGTATGACTGAAGTTTAAATGTCCCTGTTGATCTTATAAAGGTGGCTCTTCTTCTTCTGAGCTCACGGTAAACGTCTGAAATGTTACACAGAATATATGTGATTCCTCTTCTCTGTCAGGAACTGTAATTCAGTGTGTCGCTGACAGGTGGTACTATTGATCCGTGAATATGAGACGCCACAAACACACTCAGTTCAACACATATATTCACCGTGTGTGTGTGTGTGTGTGTGTGTGTGTGTGTGTGTGTGTGTGTGTGTGTGTGTGTGTGTGTGGCCTAGCATTACTATACTTGTGGGGACCTAAATCTGTTTACCCAGTCACGTGTGGGGACTCGCCTCCCTTATGGGGACAAAATGGAGGTCCCCATAAGGGGAATCATACATTTTAGGGTGAAGACTTGGTTAGGTTTAGGGTTAGGGTTAGGGTAAGGGTTAGGCATGTGTTGGTTATGGTTAAGGTTAGGATAAGTCTCGAGGAAATGCATGTAAGTCAATGTAATGTCCCCTGAAGTGATGTATACATGGTGTGTGTGTGTGTGTGTGTGTGTGTGTGTGTGTGTGTGTGTGTGTGTGTGTGTGTGTGCGTGTGTGCGCGCGCGCGTGTGTGTGTGTGTGTGTGTGTGTGTGTGTGTGTGTGTGTGTGTGTGTGGTGTGTGTGTGTGTGTGTGTGTGTGTGTGTGTGTGTGTGTGTGTGTGTGTGTGTGGGTGTGAGGGTATGTGTGTGTGTGAGGGTATGTGTGTGTGAGGGTGTTTACACGTTAAAAATGACCACCAATTGTTAATGAAAAACATGATCAAATGGAAATGATGCTGAAATGTTAATAATAATAAGGAAAGCATGAGAATCTGCTTTGTCAGAGCACATGTTTTGATGGTAGCAACATTTACTTTTAGAAAAGTTGTTATTGTTATTGTACCTTTGAATATTTTCAATTTGATCTCAGTTTGTCCCTATTATTATTTATTTCGTTTTTTGTGTTATTTTTATTAAATATTATAATTATTGCTAGTATTATTAGAATTAGAATTAGTATAAGTATTAATATGTATTATTAATAGTAGTATTAGTTGTATCACTGTCATTTATGCTACTGGATTTAAAATGCCGTTCAACTTATTATTGATAAGTAGAAGTATAGAACAGACGGTTTTTAGTATATAGATAATTATGAGCCAAAAACGGTGTCAAACTGTAGTAATTTACTCTAAACTAGAAACGTTAGACCTTCCTATTAAAACATCAGATTGTGAGGTGAACAAATATCACAAGTCTTTACCTCTTTTCTCTCCGTAACTTAAATATTTTCTCTGTTACTCATTTTTGAAACAAGGAAGAACATAAAAGCAACAGTGTCACTAACACTCCTACCACAAAACCTACTGCACCTGCCATTTGATGTTTAGGAATGAAGAAACTGGCTTTTCTCATGTTATTGTCCTTATAAAACTCTGTATGCTACTACTACTACTAACACCATGTTCTCTATACTGCTCAGTCATCCAGGTGGTGCCAAAACAATCCATACACGAGGCTTTTATTGTGAAACTTAAAGTGGATCTTTCATGCTATATTTGAAACATATATTGTAGGGCCATGCCTATACAAAACATGTCTGTGAAGTTTTTTGCTTCAAATCCCAAACAGTTCCCCCATTGTAGCCATGCCTCATACTGCTCATACCCCTCTATTGCAGCCCTGTTAGAGAAACGCAGATTTTGGGTCCTTAGCTTAAAAAACAAAAAATGCCTGATCAGAATTCTACCGGAGATAAAGTTAAATTCTGCTGTGATAAAACGCCATCCTGTTCTAAACCACATCAAGGATTATTTCTGAAACAGTATGGAGCTCAAATGCTTTTTCTCTTGCGGGTTTATTTATTTCCTGCTTTTTAAACACATGTGCTCTCCAGTACAGGTTAGCTCTGAGTGTTAGCGAGGCTTGCTAATGTAAACAAAGACGAGATTACGTCCAAAACACGTCAGGCATTGTTTCTGATAGCAACTTTCTGTGGCTCCGCCGCCGATTTGACGTCATATCGGCAGCAAATCTGTATCCGCTCGTTGTACCCCCGTTTTTAAAAGATTTGGGTACGGAGGAAAAGAGAGAGGGTTTTATTTGATGACGCACCGGGGACACATATTTATGTATAAAAGACATCAAAAAGTGCATTTTGCATGATAGGTCTCCTTTAAAGTGTTTTTGACATATTGTCCAATGTACACCTTTAGTTTTAAGAACAGGAATAAAATCCTCCATAATAATATGATGATAAGGATATTACTGACATAAAACTAAACTAAACTAATGACAACACAAAGGATTACATTCAGATGAACGAATGGAATGGAATGGTAAAGGATGAGACATATTAGAAATTTACAAAAAGCTACTTCATAAAAATGCAAGAATTATAGTTATTTAACAATTCATTATAATCACAATTTTGTCGTTGTCAAGTCAAAATATATCTATGCATCTACGTTTATAATATCTACACATGCTATATACAAAAACACATACAAAATATAGTTTCTAGAATTGCATAATTAAATCTACAGGTATGAATATTAGCATTTATGATTTTTCTGTGCACTTTTGTAGTGTTTGTTTTGCACCTGGCATTTCCTGACTGGCCTTGTGTTGATCATCATGAAGCTCTGGTAGCTGTGAGTAACTGGAGGTACTTCCACCTGACAGAAAAGAGTATACAAGTTTTTACTTTTCAATATTATTCAAATGCATATCTCATGCATGCATACTAAACACTGTAGTGACTGCAGTGGCCCCCAGGTCACATTGCTGTAATACATTTTGTACGATTAGGAACATTTCAAAACCGATACTCTGAATTTATTTGATTCTGAAATCATCAATTCAGTGCTTTTAGTATTATAACAATTTCATTTTCACTTTGCTGGCTTCATCTGTGTGTTCCCGTGATGTATATTTGTACATATAGGCCTGTTACGGAAATGTTAAGTATGACTTTTATTGAGAATCACTGCTTCTTATTTATGATATCTGCCTAAAAATTCAATTAAATGTTTTATCCGGAATATTTCCAAATGTGCATTAAAAGATAAAATAAAATACAATAAAGAAATATATACAAACATAAGAAGATAAAGTAAAATGTCTAATAGATTAAATAAAAAAACTGTGATTAAATACATTTATATTAAAACAATTATTTTAAATGTGCAATAAAAAGTTCAAATATGATAAAAAAACAATTATATAAAACACAAGAAATGAGAGTTAAAATGTGCAATAACAGATAAATAAAATACATATATTTACATAAACATAACAATTTAAAGTAAGAATGTGTAATGAAATATTAAATAAAATATGTACTACGATATATAACATATATATTACAAGATATAGTGGAGTATAAGTATTAATATTAAAACAATTCGTAGTGAAATGTAGGAAGGAAGTATTGGTCTTATTGTTTTTGAAATAGGTCGACAAATAAACTATTAAATATGACTTTTTTCTTCTTCAAACGTACACCTTTCCCTCTCTGTCGCTCTCTTTCCCGCTTACTGTAGCTCGATTAAAAGCAGCTGAGCAGCATTTCACCCCCGACAAAAAAGAAAGAAAAGTGCAGACACATTTCCAGGTAAAAAGGGAGCAATCAAAACACACGCTCGACTGATTCAATCGGCTCTACCTCTGCTCCAGGTTACAGTGAGGATCAAATACGCAATTATATTATTCAAAATGGCTTTACCGGTTTGAGGAGGGGAGGTGAGAGTGAGGAGGGGGGAGGGGCGGCTGTTCTTTAAAGGTAAGGGGACTGAATCAATGGGATCAATAACGCAGGGTTTCTCTGTCTTTCATCAGCTCTCTGCTACACATCACTGTGTTGCTAAATGCGTCTCCAACTGCAAACACCATCAGCAGAAAAAAAATCTCTGGACCACTGTGTGAGTCAGCTGTCTGTTTACCATCACAATCATTAAAGCCACAATCTCAGCCATTGTTACATCATCATCTGTATCACTATGTTTACCGTAGCCACATTTTTCACATGAGCATCGTCGGCACAACGTTTAATCAGAATCAGAAGATCTGTTTTAGTCCCAAAGAGGGGACATTTATCATGATTATAGCTATCCAGAGGTGGGAGAAGCACTCAGATCTTGCACTTGAGTAAAAGTAGAAGTACTCAGATCTTGCACTTGAGTAAAAGTAGAAGTACTCAGATCTTGCACTTGAGTAAAAGTAGAAGTACTCAGATCTTGCACTTAAGTAAAAGTAGAAGTACTCAGATCTTGTACTTGAGTAAAAGTAGAAGTACTCAGATCTTGCAATTGAGTAAAAGTAGAAGTACTCAGATCTTGTTCTTGAGTAAAAGTAGAAGTACTCAGATCTTGCACTTAAGTAAAAGTAGAAGTACTCAGATCTTGTACTTGAGTAAAAGTAGGTGCAGCTAGTTTGAATGACTTTGTATACTGCAGGGTAGCTTGTGAATTTACTTCAGGTGGAACTAAAGTGCTCAAGCTCAGAACGCTAAATAATAAACCCAGTTCACACAACTATTTATTTAATATCTTCATCAGCAATATTTTAATTTGTGCTCCTAATCCCAGTCCATTTTAATAGTCTCCAATGTGATTATCCTTATTACAAAACCGTCACAATCGCCGGCTAAGAAATCATTACAATCACCATCTGTATCATCGTTATTTCTAGCCTGTTTATCACCCAGTCAAAGGGTTAGGTAATATCGTCACAATCCTCATCGTATTACCACAAGTGTCCACAAACTAAATCCTCATCACCATCAAAATCAGTCTTGAAACCATAATGCTCAGTACCTGGCAATCATATCATAATATTCAATATCACTATTAAAGGTGGGGTAGGTAATTTTGGAGAAACCAGCTCGAGTGAGTAGAATTTGAAAATACACAACCGGAGAAAATCTGCCACTTCCTTACAGAGCCCCTCCTCCAACACACACGAACGCGCACATGACCAATGAGGGCACGAGATAAGTCTATGCACAGATGGAAGGCTGACAGGCAGGTAGGCCATCCAGTTATTTTAGCCAGGCCGGCTAAAATGATTGGTCGTGCTTTTTACAGTACTACGGCTTCCACAGATGACATTTTTTTATGGATTTTTTGTCAAAGCACTTAAGATATTCATTGCTATCGGGATGTTAAGAGCATTCCATGGAATATAACAAAAGTGTATCTCGAGCCGGTTTCTCAAACTTACCTACCCCACCTTTAACACCATCTATGATCATCACTTTCATAATTGTAATGATCAACATCGCAATCATCCATTTGTGATCATTATCATCTCCATCAGTCCATCTGTCATCATCAAAACCACCCTCAGCAATATCATTATAATGAAAAATATAATAATAAACGTACGAAATGCCACTGATTTGTTCAGAAACAATAATGTATTACGTTCAGTTCAATATCTGGCGTTAAGGATTAAGCCTGCACCAAAGATTTGAATGTCTGCCGTCACATTTTATGACCGCTTGACCCTAAAAACCCCTTTTGTTATTGTGGTTATAAAAATATAATTTATGGTGCTGTTACATTGCTTCTAGAGCTCCTCGTTAAACAGGGCCTGCCTTCCTTTGTGAGAAAAATGCTTTCTTCAGCAGCGAAAATTATGTTTTCGAGGGTCTTCATGCCAACAATTACGAACTAAAGCAGAATATTTTATTAGATAAAAATATGTTGTACCATTTTAAATAATTGCATCTATCTTTTTTTATCAAACGCTCTTAAGGTATTGGAAATATTTGGATCACACAAGTCAGAAACACTCAGGTGGTAGATAGAAGTACTCAGATATTATACCCTAACAAAACGTACTGTTACAGAGAAAGTATACATTAGCAACATAATTTAAACACAATAAGAAAAATAACTTATATATATAATTATTGATGCATTAGTGTGTTCATCACTTCAATGCTGCACTCGGTGAAAGGTGGCATTTATATGAATTACTTGCTGGGTAGTTTGACCTATAATAATATGATTTTATGACGTTCCACCACTGGGAACAATATGAGGTTATTACCACTGGAATCTAATACGAGACATATTATTCTTTATCTACAACTGGTTAGAAATTCTATAGGTTTCAAATGTCAAAGTCATAAATTAAGCTTTTGAAGTCTTTGGTAAAGCCCTATAAAAAAAGCTCTGTTTGTGCATGTAATCCTCATTGACCGGGACTATTATTACACATGCAGCACACAGTGAATTTCAGTGGACACCTCTACAGGTATCAGTTCATTACTTGGTGCTTTTGGAGAATCGAACAGACGACCCCTCCAGCCTTTTGATTTTCACAAGAAATACGTGAAAACGCAGAGTCCCTGAGATGCAGGCGCCAGTTCATCGCTTCATAAGTGTTAAAACAGGCTAAATAAGTGGTGAAATTATCCTTATATAGACACAGAAACCACTATATCTGATGGCATCTTTTGAGACTTACATTTCAGAAACACAATCAGCAGTAAGCACCCACTGCTGACCAAAAGGTCAAGCCTTTCCAATATGGCCACTGAGAGCCATTATTCTACCTTTGAAGCCTTTTCTCTATTCACTTGAAATGGTTTGAGTCGAGTGCCAAGCTTCTCTAGCTGGTAACACTCACAGCAAGCACATCAGTGTGTTATACCGAGGAGTCAAGGGCTGCTGAACGTTAATAGAAACATCAAGGTAGGTGATGCTTTACTGAAGCAGCCATTTCAAGTGAATATGGAGAAGCAGAGAGGACAGACGGTGCAGAGAGGCCAGGGGAAGAAGACATGGAGAGTAAGAGATGGATGGCAGAAGGGGAAAGGGAGAGACAAAGGAGAGTGAAGATGATAAAGGATTTAGGGGACAAGAGGTGATGCAGAGCGTTCACTGAAGACGGTTGAAGCGAAAGACGGTAGGAAAGGGAACCAAAAGAGAACATTAGTGTCAGTCCCACAGAAAACATATACAAATAGTTCCTCCTTTTGGGACGATCAAGGTGAATATCACTCTGAGGAAGTTAGGAGTCGTCGTTAGGCTAGCTTAGCATGAAGCATAAAGCATTTTTGAACCTTGAAAGACACCTGGCTAGCACTTTCCCCTTCTTCCAATCGTTTTGCTATGAGCTAAGCTAAACTAGCAACGTCCTGATTCTTGCTTATCACACAAACATGACAACACTATCTTCTTCACTTCTCAAGTTCAGTAAGATAGCAAACAAATGTAGTTTACAAAATACTAACACAACTACTACCACACTAAAACGGCCTTTAAGGACACTAAAACTAGGGTCAAGATTTTCTGAAAACTCTTTATAGTGTTGACATGTAGACAGTTTCCTGTTGCTATCTCCTCTGTGAGGCAACAATTAGTGCAATCGTGGCATAAATACATCCACGAACATGGCGTAATAGCATTTCTACCAGGACTTTTTACATGATTACACTGAATGCAGTTACTCTTTTAATATATTGACCAACAGAGGTGTCATTAACTAAGGCGTTAGCTCACTGCTACATCCAACACTCCCAAAAACACAGCTGCTTTGGTAACGCCCGTGTGTGTGCGTGACCCACTGGTCTTGACAGCACTTTAATTGTGTTTGCATCTGAACGGGAATTTTCTTAAAGCAGTGCTTGTATGGTGGGTTTTATTTTGAGAGAATCAGGAAAAAA